GACCATAGGACTTGAGGAGCTGAAGGAGGAGGTGAACCACCTGCGAATGAGGCAGAAGGAGCTCATGGAGACCTGTCTCTTGGACCAGAAGGCAGTGGGGAAGGATGACATCAAGAACAAAGCTCTCCTGCCTTTCCAGTTCAGGTCTACAAATATCCTTGGGTACAACCTCAAAGAAGACTTGGACAACAGGACTCTCAGAACCTGCCAGAAAATGGTGATACCAGAGCTCCAGTACATGTCCTATCTTTACTCTGTTCAACACCCGCACAAGAAGAGGAAGCCATTAGGCTTGCCCTTGCTGTGGACCAGTTTCCAGGAGAAGACACAGCTCCCAACTCCCATCTAGGGCATGCAACAACCCACCCTGGTTTCCTGCCGCTTTGCATCACCCCATGGCTGGCACATGGCTGGCCCACAGGATGCTCGTGCACAAAGGCGGGGCAGGGGGGCTTCGCCTGGGGCCACTGAGCTGGTGGTGGGTCCCTTTTTGGGGACCTCGAGCCGAAGGCTCTGCATTGGCCGGATCCTGCGTGATCCCTTCTCCCTGCTCCCAGGCAGGGGGACAACCCGCTGCTGCTGAGCACTGGGCAGGCTTTCAGCTGGCTTAGATATTCCTGCCTCTTAATCATTAATCACAGGCTTAATAATTTTGTTTGCATTTGACTTTATTTAATAGCCATCATTACGTCCAGGCTTGTCACAGCTCACTGGAGCAAGTCCTGATTCTCGGCATTTAGGGGAAAAAAGGGGAGGGGGGGAGGGGAATGAGGAGGAGGGTGCAAGGAGGGGACGCGGCACTCAAAGGAGTGGGAGAGATGTTGGGTCTCCCACCCAGCAACATCCATGCTTGGTGATGTCTGCCCACCCAAGCACTGTGCCCCAAGCTGGGCGAGTTGCCTGGCAGCCTTTCCCCACCAGCACGTGAGACTTGCATGTCTTCCAGCTGCCACACCAGACCTGAAAGGTTCGCCCAGCAGGACAGCAGCGCCAAGCCCAACGGTTTTGGCGTCACCGCCATTAATGATGGCCCGCTGCCGGTTTCCAACATGCCTGATAGTGCAATATTTCGGTGCTCAGCCAGCGTCTCCTTCCGCTCGTGCCAGCCACGGTGGCGGCAGGACCCGGATGGTGCCGTTGGGATGACGGATCTGGGGTTGCTTGGCTTCCAGCTTCGCCTTGCAGCCTGGCAGCACCTCAGCCCAAGAAGCAGGAGAGAGATTCTGTTGGTGGGGAGCTGAGCTGGGATTTTCCTCGGCTACATTTCAACCTGGCAGGGAGCCGGGGAAGCTGGCTGAGGCAAGGGTTAACCCCCTGCAATGCAACCTGTGCTGCTCCACAACCCATGTGCAACAAGAGGTGCAAGCAGAGATTAACAGCACCCACATGGTTTTCTGATCCAGCGACCCTACACTAAAATTATGCAGGCCTAGGAGGCATTTGAATCTAGCCGGGGTGGAGGAAATGGCAGCCACACAGCTTCAGCTGGGGCAATCCCCGGGGCCCTTTCCCAGCCAATTCATCAGCCTGAGCCTGGGCTTTTGCTTTGGAGCTTCTGATCCCTGACTCGCCGGGTGAATTCTGTCAAGCCCTTTAGCTACACTGATGCTGGGGATGGAATAAAAGCGTAAAAATAATTTCTTAACAGCTGACCTCTGGGGGGGGGGGGGGGGGCTTGGGGGGGGGGGGGGGCAAGGCGGGGGGGTGGCAGCGAGGCGACGGGCTCTGCAGAAAGCTGGCGGCTGCAGGAGCTGGTGTTACCCTGTGGCAGGGGCAAGGAACAGAAGGGACACCCCTGGCTGAGCAGCACCTGGTGAGTGCCTTCACTTTCTCTGTGGGGTGGCTGACCATCAAAAGCTCCTCGTTAAAACATGGGTGAAAGTCGTCCTCGGCCACTCGCCACTCTGGCTGTGCCCCCGAGCCGAATGGCCACGGTGATAACCTGGGGCACATAGGGACTTGTAACCCGGGGACAGCCAAACCTGGTGTCACTCCTGCTGTCCCCAAAGGAAAGGTGCTGGGGGGACTGCTTGCACCCTGCTGCCACAGGGACGGCGTGGCCAGGGACCCCGTCGTGCTGCGCGCCCCAGCTCACCCTGCAGGGCAGGGGGAAACGAGGAATGGGCTGAGTCTGCTGCATTGGAGGCACCCGAAACGCAGGACAAAACGTTCCCTGACCCCCTCGCAGGGACGCTCGGCTGGTCCCGGGGGTTTTGGCTGTGCGGAGA